GGTATAAATATTAGAAAGGGCGGAAACACCATCTTCGCAAACATGAATAGATATATATCCTTATTTTACAATTTTTCCCAAAAAGGATTTATCTTTATCCCCAGCCTCGGAGGAAGGATTTTTCTTTGATGAAAAGTTTTCTATTTTTAGAGTTAAAATTGAATGTACATAATACCTATCCAAAATAATATGAATGACTCACTATTCACTCGGTTTTTGGGCCATAATCATTATGTAGGAGAGATGGCCGAGTGGTTCAAGGCGTAGCATTGGAACTGCTATGTAGACTTTTGTTTACCGAGGGTTCGAATCCCTCTCTTTCCGTACTCGTCAACTAATTCACCAATGTTACTGACTGCAATGCATCAAATAAGAATGGATACTCCAACAGTTAGACCTTTCTTTGATATAGATTATCTATTCCTACCCCGAATTTCTGTGGTACGAAAAATACTGGACAAAATCGACAAGGAATGAAAATACCCTACCGATCTATGATACATGAATAAGAGAAAAATCCCCAGATGAAACCCCTTACCTTACTTACCCCGGGTCCCTTTACTTAAGCCAAAATGAAGGGGGCAAAATTGCCCGAACCCTTGTTATTTTAGTTATGGTTAAGTCTGACGAGAGTAATATTCTACAACTAGCAATTCGTTTATTTTCAAACCGACCCATTTACTATCTATTATTTGATTGACTAATCCTTCATATTGGAATGGGTGAAGAGTCAAATGTTTTGGTAATTCCTCACGGGGGGGTGAATCAAGATAATTTTGAATCAGAGCCCTGGATTTTTGCTCATCCCTCACTGTAATAATATCTCGGGGTTTGCAGCGATAACTTGGTATATCTACTATACGACCATTAACTAAAATATGTCTGTGGTTAACTAATTGGCGGGCTTGAGGAATAGTCGAAGCCATACCTAATCGAAAAAGGATGTTATCTAAACGCATTTCAAGTAATTGTAGTAAAACCTGACCTGTTGACCCTTTGGCTTTTCCGGCGATCCGAACGTATTTAAGTAATTGTTGTTCTGTAAGACCATAATGAAAGCGCAATTTTTGTTTTTCTTCTAAACGAATACGATATTGAGATTTTTTGCCGGGGCGCGATTGGTTTCTAAGATCGCTTCCGGCTCTAGGCTTTTTACTAGTTAGCCCCGGTAAAGCCCCCAGACGACGGATTTTTTTGAAACGAGGTCCTCTGTAACGCGACATAAAGACTCCTTATTTTTATGAAATTTCATAAAACAAAATTAAAACTAAACTAAAATATGATAAATTAAGCGAAATTTACTGAAGTATTACAAAGAATAAATAATTAGAGGAATTGTATCAATATCCGTACCTTATTGTATATAAATAATTGTATTATATAAATAAAAAGAATTTAAAATAATAAAAATTTAGGGTTCTTTTCTTATCTTAATTGATTTGTTCTACAGAGACCGAACTCCTCCAATCCAATTTTTATTCATAATTGGAAGTTCCTACGAAATAATAGAAATAGATCAGTGACCCTTGGGAAAAGGGAAAGAAGTTTTTCACTTTGATTTCACATTATCAATTTAATTATGTAAAAAATCAAACAAATGGAGAAAAGCCGGCTATCGGAATCGAACCGATGACCATCGCATTACAAATGCGATGCTCTAACCTCTGAGCTAAGCGGGCTCGCATAACATAAATTGTACACATATACTAATTTAGTAAACTACTGAGATATTAATTGTTCATTCTTAGCTATTTCATAAGAAATATTATTTATATAAAAATAATAAAAAAAAATATATAAAATATATATATAAAGAATATTTCCAAAAATATTGGATATTTGAATATTAAATTTCGATCTATTTCTCAAATATATGTTTATCGATAATTAATATCTTAATTAGCTTAATTAAATAGTAAGATTTTTTTTTTTACTATTCTATAGTACTATGTTTTTTTGATATTTTATTATATTTCATATATATTATATATGAAATATATTTTAATTTTTTTATATATTTTATTTAGAATTATCTTCTAATTATAAATTAACGGAATGATTGTTTATAGCCATTTTATTAGTTATGGCTAGTAATTAAATTTTAAATTAATAATACTCAAATTTTCCTTTTTTTTGTTATGTTATAGAGGGTCTGCCCTAAGAAAAGGATAAGAATAAAATGAAAGATAAAAGTGTAATTCAGATCATAATGAAACACTCCTCTGGTTTCATTCGAAAAGGCGAAAGCTAAGATGAAAAAAAAAAAAGAATCGACCGTTCAAGTATTCAAAATTGCACGGATAGAAATAGGGGCATATCTAAGTATAATAAATATATTATATATAGTATAATATATATGTTATGCGGTATATATCTATATTGAATTTCTGATATAGAAATGATAGAATCATTTCTGATTGGACCAAATACTGGTCTCCGATAGAGATCAAAGAAAATAGACAAGAAATCAAATAGTAGAAAACACTTTTCAATATAGGAACCGGTATCTAATGAATTCAACGGTTCCAGCATAATATAAATGAAAGAAAAGAAAAAAGGGTGACGGCATCATAATGTGATCCTAATCACATCACAAAACAAAAAAGGGGATATGGCGAAATTGGTAGACGCTACGGACTTAATTGGATTGAGCCTTGGTATGGAAACCTACCAAGTGAGAACTTTCAAATTCAGAGAAACCCTGGAATTAAAAATGGGCGATCCTGAGCCAAATCCTGTTTTATTAAAACAAACAAGGGTTTCATAAACCGAGAATAAAAAAGGATAGGTGCAGAGACTCAATGGAAGCTGTTCTAACAAATGGAGTTGGCTGCATTGTGTTAGTAAAGGAATCCTTACATCGAAACTTCCGAAAGGATGAAGGATAAACCTATATGCATACGTATAGTACTGCAATACTATCTCCAAATGATTAATGACGGCTCGAATCTGTATTTTTTTATATTTATATGAAAAACGAAAGAATTGTTGTGAATCGATTAAAAATTGAAAAAAGAATCGAATATTCATTGATCAAATCATTCACTCCATCATAGTCTGATAGATCTTTTTAAGAATTGATTAATCGGACGAGAATAAAGATAGAGTCCCATTATACATGTCAATATCGACAACAATGAAATTTATAGTAAGAGGAAAATCCGTCGACTTTAGAAATCGTGAGGGTTCAAGTCCCTCTATCCCCAAAACGGTTGACTCCCTAATTATTTATCTTTTATCATTTTGTTAGCGATTCAAAATTCGTTATGTTTCTCATCCATTCTACTCTTTCACAAACGGATCTGAGCGGAAATTTTTTTCTTATCACAAGCCTCGTGTGTTATATATATGATACACGTACAAACGAACATCTTT